AGAAAGTGATAACTTAGGTAATAGCATTAAACTCAATCTTATGCTACTATTCTAAGAAACCACGTGCTTCACAAACTTCTTTGTAGGTTGTAGAGGACACCGTTAAACGTTGTTGAGAGCCATTCGGAAAATAGTAGGAAACTTTGATAGGTTTTCGTAAAATGTGTTTGAGTTGTGATTGAGAGATGATTTGATCCTATATTTATATTGGCTACGCATAGATTAAGAATAGTAGGGTTTTCGGAATTTGTTATGGGAAATTATAATTGTTACCGTGATTTCCGATTGTGTTTTGTTTGAAAAATCTTAAAAAAAGGAATTTAAATCTCATAATAATATATGTTCTTAGCAATAGCAGTAATTATCGTAATAATTATTTCTATGATTCGAATACAAAATAAAGTATTTGATATATTGTGGGCGAGATTTGAGGAATATTTGGACGTATAAAAGCTAAATAAGATTTTGAAGATACGTTTTCCATTTAAATCTCATCATAATATATGTTCTTAGCAAAAGCAGTTATTATCGTAATAATTATTTCTATGATTCGAATAGAAAATAAAGTATTTAATATATTGTGGGCGAGATTTGAGGAATTTTTAAACGTATAAAAGCTAAATAAGATTTTGAAGATACGTTTTGCATAATCGTATTCCCGCAATTGCGTTTGGTATGTTGTTGATGGAAACAAATTAAAGAATAAAATTTGATCTCGAAGAATATCCAGAAGATCATATATAACTTGTTCGCCACGTAAGCCGTGTTTTGAGCTAACGATTTTCGCAAATCAATTTAATATTAGCTTTTCATGTTATATTTTGTAATTATACCAAAATGATGTTTAATTTTAATTTAGGAAGATCCGATTAGCTAAATTCCGGGTTATTTACTCTTTAATTTTTTTATAAAACCCGACCCAAGTACATTTGTACTTCTCTTTTAATAGTATAGAGATATCTTTTCACAGCGCGGCCAAACAAGGAAAGGACGTATTTATGGAATTGGCAGTGTTCAATACCGGGATTTTAATCCATCTGAGACAGTCTCTGCTTCTCTTCAACACAACCTTGACATGGACATGCGTATCTCTTGTTTGGAGAAGAACTCTGAAACTGTCAACATTAATGTTGAAACGCTCAAGGCTGGCATGACGACACTCAAAGATGATATAGTGGCCTTGAAGAGTGAGTTTAAGGATGAGATGGGTGCAACGAGAGCTTCGCTACAAGTTATTCTGCAGGCTCTCGGGGTTAATTCTGCTACTCCCCAACAGGTAAATCATACTCAACCTTATGTTCCTACTGAAATGTCTCCCAATCCCACTGTTCAGAATGCCACAATGCCGAATTATGCCTCAACTCCACCTATGACTACAGCTCAACAAGCTGCCTTTGAAGAGTGGTGACCCAAGCTTTACAAGCACTTAGTTATGTAGTCTGCTGCTCTTAGTTTCTTGTTTTAATTTTCAGCTTGCTTTTAAAAATATTTGCATCTTTTGTAAGACTTTTATAAGTCTTTTGGAATCTTTTGGATCTTTTGTAAAACTTTTGGCAATGTATGGTAGTTTGGATTTAAAATTTCAGGTTATTAGGGTTTTAAATTTCAGGTTACAAATTTCAATATATTTTTTTCTTGGCCAATCACAATTAGTCACAAAAACGTTTGTGACATTTTAATTAGCCACAACAATAAGGTCACAGTGGTTCGTGGTTAATAGTATCTTCACAAATCCACTGTTTAGACGTGTATAATTCGTGTCAAATAAAGTCACAAAAACATACATGAATAAAATCGTGGCAAAATGAGACACGAACATTTATATGTACAACTCGTGACTAGATTAGGCACGAAATATGCGTGCATAAACCGTGGCTATAATGTCACGAAAAACACGATAAATTTTAAGTCACGATTGTATAGACACAGTCGTTTTGGTGTATGTTCGTGACTCTTTGGTCATATAGCCACAAAATTTTGGTCTTAGTCACAAAAGTTTCCATAGCTATACACTTTTTTTTACTAGTATATCTATACTAGTATTTTTGAAGTACATTTGTTAGCGGGTGAGTTAAATTGTTATCCGACAAATTTGGTATCCGACCTAGTAAGAAATTTTTTTCATAAATCTTACACCGGATAGTTCATATCTTTTTTGGATCGGGTCAAAACATATCAAAAATTATGAACCGGATATTGCATATTTAAAAATATACATATTTAGAAGATTTGGTTAAGATTTAGAAATTCAATTCTCCTATCATCTTTGTTTGAACATTTTTTTACTGTTTTGAATCGTCATATAATACATAAAGTTTAAAAAAAAATCTTAATTTTTTTTCTGCATATATTGGAATTTAAAATTTCTAAAACGGATATATATTACCCAACTGATGAAAAAGGTGTGTGTTCAACGTCCCATATCGGTTTAAAATATTTAGATATTGATTCAGAACATATTATAAATAAGATCAAAATAAATCCAAATCTGAATGAACAAAAAGCTCAACTTAATAAGCATCCAAATTTAAAATTATAAACTGTTTCATTCGGTTTTTTTAGTTTAACTGCTTAATTATAAACAAATTTGACGAAGTACTAAACCAGTTTGACTTTTTCTAGTGACTTGAGGGAATCAAACACATTGATATGAGAGAAGACACATAAAACAATTTATTTCTTACTTGTAAGAGAAGACACATGTGTTGATATGAGCAAAACCTTTATTACTTGTAAGAGAAGACACAGCGCCGTGGGCAAAACCTTTCTTCCTTTACGAGCACTTCTAGATCAACGTAACGTAGGCAAAACCTTTGTTAATTGATATGATTTTTAATGTGTTTATAAGTCCTTCCACATAAACAAGATAATATATATGTTGCTCGATAAGATTCCTATTTTTACTAGGATTAGAATTAAAATTAAATATATACTTTTAAAGTTTATCTAATAAGGAAAATAGTCTTTATCTCATCTAAAAATATTATAACCAAAATACATTAAGATAATAACGGTTTCAAATATTTTTAAATAAATGAAGATGATAACTTTTTAAATGTTGTTAATCAGTCCACATTGGGACGAAATTGTAACAAAATTACGAAACTATTTATAACAAAATACTTTGTCACTCATTGGTATCAATTCATGACTACTATTTAGTCACTATAATGTCACAAATTGTGACTCCCATATTCGTCACAAATTCGTAACTAATTTGTGACTATAGATACGTCACAAAATCGTCACACTTGTTTCGGTCATAAAATCGTAATATTTTTGTCGCTAATTGCCACAAATTTCGGTCATGATCTAAACCGTCACAATTTTGTGACGAAATTACTACGAAATTGTGACAAATATATTTAGTCACAAAAAACGTATCAAAAAAGTCACAAATTGGTGACGTATATTATTAGTCTTAAACTTCGTCTAAATAAAATTAATTTCTTGTAGTGTATATAACGGGACGAGTTTTTAAGAAGTTTTAATATTATAATTCATATATTTAAAATCAATAAAATTGTTTATAATATAAGAACATTTGAACATATACAAAGAGTTCAAATAATATGAGACGGTTATATTGCAGGAAGAGGTTATATTGCAGGACGGGGTTATATGACGGGACGAGTTTGAATAAAAAAAATTTAAAACATCATTAACCCGCTGCTTCAATACGGTTAAGTATTCATTTTATTACTTTTTTAACACCACCAATATTAGACATATCGAATGATCCTGATTAAAGTAAATTGTATAAAACAAAAATTGTCTTGTGGTATACTGTTACTTAATAACAATTATAAACTATAAAATAATACAATTTGGAAAATTTTTTTATATAATATTTAACCATTAAATTTTAATAATCACAAATTTTAAAAACAAATTGTCATGCGATGTATCGCAGATTAAAATCTAGTACTATATATATATATATATATATACTCGTTATTGGTGAAACACATTTTTCAAATCATTTGAACATATCACAATCGTTTACTTTTTTCGAACTTAGCGTTACTTTAATATTCATCCCGTACTAAGCACATGTTAATACCTAGTTAAATTTTATTGTTGGTGTCTCCTTAACTCTTTATTTGAAAATCTCAAATTTTTAAAAAAGTAAATGTCTTTTTGTCATTAGTATTTGTTTCTTAATATTTTTTCTCTTTATCGCAATCTTTCATTTGAACATTTTCACATACGACAATCTTAAAATAGTTAGATCGCCTTTTTTGAATTGCGCCTTATTGGATGGTTAAATCTTTTTTACATAGCTTTTTGTTTCAGAGAGTTGTCATTTTATTTGTAATTTTTCTGCTAAACTAAAAATTACACATTTTCACAATATTTGTCATTTTATTTGTCATTTTATTTGTAATTTTTCGTTTTGCACATTTTCACAAATAGTTAGCAAAGTGAAATCGGGACTGGTCATTAACATGTTCGACATAAATTGGCTTAGAACGTGACCTCAATCTTGTCCAATTACTCTACGACATCAAGGCATATCAAGTTGTGCATCCAGGAATATCAAGTGGCGATGAACTAGTCTCCGTCTTGGATTAGTTGATCTACTAACTGATTGAGTGTGTTCTTGAGACTATATTCAGCATGGTAAGAACCTCCTCAGCATTCTTGGACTCAGCGGTATGAAAATATGTTAACTTAACAGAAGGTATAATGCACAGTCACAACTCTTTCCAAGATGTAGTAAAGTCCCCACAGTAACTTTCTTCCTTTTGCTTATTCAATACAGCCATGTATGACTTGGAGCACATTCTTCCACTTACAAGGATTGGACAAATTTGCGTATGAAGCGAACTATTTCATGATATACAAAGAAAAGAAAAAAAATAGACTAAAGGTAAAGGTCCTGTAAGGTGAAATGGCGAGTAAAGAATAATGAGATGGAAAAAAAAAGGAAAATAATAGAAGAAACCAAAACGTAATTAGAAAGGAAGATAGGAGGAATTTAATACTTCGTGAGTTAAGAATCGATGTGGCTTATATTTTCTTTTTACTCTATCATTTGTTGATCGGAATCGATGTGGCCGAAGATGTCTGGACAGTCTACCCATAATCCATCCTCTCGGGCTTCCCAGTAACCTCCTTTGTATCGGTATGACTCGCTTCCTTTCTCCTTCATGAACCACCTCGGCTTCCATCCTCTCTCCTGCATCTTCCTAGCCTGTCTCATCACACAGCCCAGTTTATAGCATGTGAATTCTAAATTCTAATTCAGTGTAAATTTCTGAAAACAAAATCAGAGGAACCAAACCATACAAAAAAAAACCATTGCCGAGTGGTGGTGCGACTTGTATTACCTGACGTTGTCGCTGTTCCAGCCGCAACTTCTCTGTGTTGGCCATTTCAAACTCTCCGTTCTCGAGATACCTCTGGTCCGGTCGCAGCCTTGAATCCGTTGGTGGAAGGCTCTCCTACATCAATTTCTCCTTTCAGGTCAGAATGTCTCCCTAAAAAATTAATTTATCAAAATAATAACAAACAGAATTCTCTGCGGAATTCACCTTAAGCCCAGGCGTAAGCTCATTCAACGTGATTGCAAAACGTGTTAGATTATACTTTGTTGCGTTTCCAGGAGGTTTGCTCCGTTTCCAGAGAAGTTGAGCTCCTGACATAGCTTCACTCTGTTTCCCTTTCCCAGAACAATCACCCGTCACAAAGTGCATGCTCTCATCCCATTTCCCAAACATCGTTGCCACTGTCTTCCCACTCTTGTCTTGAACTATACCATGAACCTGTGACGAGGACAAATTACTTGATGCCTCAAAACTAGATTTGGACATAAGAACCTAGCCAAAATATCTCAATCCAAACCAAACTTTACTTTGGAAATAGACAGTAACAATATCTTATTCCAAAGAACAGCATAGATTGAAGTTCTTTAATCACAAAAAGTACGGATTAGAATACTATACCTATATAATATTAATTGGAATTTATATTCTATACAAAACGGAACTAAAGCCAAACCTACTGAAACAACATCACCAAAGCTAACACGTACCTGATGAGGATTTCGGTCTATGATGGACTGCTCCTTGAATTTAAGTTTACATGAGTATTCAGCACTGCCCTCAATACGCATTGTACCGTAGTGATCACAGTACAGTTTACCAAGTATGAGATTGTATATTGATGTAGTCACCTACAAGTTGAAAGAAAGAATAATATTAGTGAACAAAGAATACAAAATGGTTATTTGTTTGGTAAATATTTGATTGGTACCTTGCTCCACTGAAGGATTTCTCCATCATCAAATTGCAAAGTCAATACACCAACAGGATCAAGCTGAATAGATCGACCCCAGAATTTGCTCCTAAGATTGCTGTCTCCCCAGAATTTCCATCCCGTGCCATCACAATGGCATGCGACAACCATAGGATGATGACTGACCTGACACCAACATGAATAAGAGGTCTGAATATATAGCTATAGCTAATGAAAACACAGGAAAGAAGATCTGCGTGTTGTGAACTGAAACCTTTTCTGAAAAAAATCGAAGGCCTTTGTCTGGATAGTCTGCCTCGTATGTTTCACCTAACAATGGATTAAAAGGTTTGCAGATTCTTCCTTCGGTTGATGCATACCCAGATACAGCAAAAGCAGCTACATTGAGAATCCTCATGAGGCTATTTCCCTGAAAAAAGTTTCACGTACTGAGCAATATTCAAGATGCTACCATCAGGGATTCAGATGGTACAAGTGTTCAGATGATTTACCCTTTTGCCATATTCAAATGCACGGTCAAGAAGGTATGAATATTCCAAATCCTCAAAACATTTCTGTAAAGAAGAAAGTGGCTCGTTGAAGTAAACAGGAAGACAGACTTTTGTTAGGTCCTTGCCTATATTGTCTTTGATCATTGACCAAAGGCTAACACTTTTCTCTTTTTCAACCGGATCAGGTAAATTCTTCCTCCTTTTGACGCGAGGATAGTTGCATCCAATAGACTTGATGGAAGGATCAATATCATCTTCGGACTCAAAGCCATCTTCATCGGAAGAAAATGATGACGTACGAAAACCAGAACCACTACTCTTGAAAGAACTTGAAGAAAGAAAGTCACGTGTATCAAAAAAGGTATTTTCTTCCTCATCAAATTCCTCCTCGGCGGCATCACCGCGTTCATTATCATCATCAGATTCGGTGGCAGTCCCTTCTGAGATTAAAAGGAACCAAGTCAATTGCAAACTCGAATCAAAACACAGGCAGATGAAACAGTTATATGCAGGAATGCTAGGCTCAGGAATGGGATGCTCGGTAACTCACCACTGAACTTCTCGTGTCTCAATTCACCGGAACATCCATTATCAGCCTGTCTTTGACTCTCATCTACAACAGTGTTCTCCAGATCTACCTTTTCCGTCTAGAGAATAATGCAGAAAGAGCAAATTCTTAGCAGAGTATAGCCGGAAGAGAGAACAACATACAAACTATTAATACTAATAAACCCTCTTGTAAAGTTAACAGAATTTCTAAAACACTATAAACACATAAGATGCGGGATACGATACCCAGCAAAATGAACAAAATCAACAGATTTCCAGCCAGTACAACACCAATAGATCATAACAGGTCATCCCAGCCACTCCAATACAATATTACCATTGCACACAGATTATAGCAGTCAACCTGACATCTAAACTAAAGAGTTTGAGCAGGTTTTTGTTGGTAAAGTTGTAATACCTCCAACTGCCTAAGAGTATCAATGAGAAGCCACTGCTTCTGCTTGAGAAGCACCAGCTGGCTCTGAAGTGCTGAGAACTCAGACTTCATAATTTGCTCACAGTCCTGAATAGCTAACTCACTAACTCCTTCCTCAATCAACCTTAGCCTAAGCTTCTCCGTAGACATGGCCAAATTGTTAGTCGGAGCCATCAATTCACTATTAGACATCCTTGGAAACATATCTTTAACAGCTTGTAAAGCCTCAACCCAAGTTGTTCGGTCCTCCCGCGTCTCTGCACGCAAGTGAAGCCTCTTTGTACCAGTAAAAATGGAAAACCTCTTATCATCTGATCTACTCTCCCTAACTGAAGAAACCTACACAAAACAAATGAAACCATTCAAACCAGAGAACAACACATATCGCTATGAAAGACATGATCATGTATCAGACCTTAAGATGGACTTCTCCGAATGGCTTGCGGCGATGCTGGCAACTACTGCTGCTTCCGCCACGGCGGTGGTGCCGTGAGATCATACGAGCAGACTCATCTCCGATAACTTTAGATCCTTTTTCAGTTTCAGGACTAACAAAGATCTTATCAGGTCCATGAATCTTATAATAAGAAAGCACACCATCTTGCAAAACAAACCACCTAGGTCTCCATCCTCTACCATAATTCACCCACTTATACAAAATCCCAGCAATTCCATTCCCAACGATATCGTTAATCTTAACATCAACCGGAGGTTCTCTAACCGCCGCCGGCAAAGCTAAAACGCGTTGCCCCAATCGATTCGCGACATCACTCTGGTGATTAAACGAAAGACTATGAATAAGATTCTGATTGTTATTCAATTGACCTGAATGATGATTATAACTCTGAGAAGCAGATCGAGAAATAATCGGCTCGGATCTCGCGGAACCAAAAGGCGTTGCGGAGGAAGCAGCGGCGTGTATCGGTAGAGGCGGTTGTGGTTCCGGTAACGGAGGCATCGAAGGAGAGTGATCAGAGACAGTGGTAACGCAACAGAAGGGATGCATGTGGTGAGAGACGTCTAAGATGAGAAATCGAAGAGATTATTGATTCCGTTGGATCCGATGATTGTGCGGTGGTTCACGGTGGTGATGGTGGTGGAGAGGAGGAAGAAAGTAACGGTCATGGCAGAGAAGATTTGAGGATTGAGAGAATTGTTGAAGAAAGGAGAAAGAAGAAGAAGAGAGGTTGTTGAAAATTGGTCAGAGAAGAAAGCGAAAAGTTCGGTAGCAGAAGAAGAGTCACCGGAGAGGCCAAAGCTTTTTTTTTTTTTTTTCGTTATTTGTTTTTAAATTTAAATTTACTAATTTTGTTTTATTGTTTTTTTTTTAATATAGGAATGACTTGAACGAAGAGGACAGAAAAATCGGTGCCGTCGTTGCGTGTTGTTTGCTGACGTGGCGAGAATCGAATATGGGTCACTCGCATTTCTTTTCTTTTTTTGTAATGAAAATTGTATTTATAATATTCCCGATTAATTTAAGCAAATCATTAATTCCATTGTTAGTTGAAGGGATTTAATTAAATATTTATAAAAACATTAACTAGTTTTCCATGTTTCGTTTTGATATCGATTAAATACCATTCATATGTGATCTTAAAAATTATGGTAATCATTAAGATTTGATTTACGGTAAAAAAATCTTTAATTAAACAATTGATGTGATAATTTATTAGAACAGATTACATTTGATAAATGCTAGAATCTTCGCTGATACTCTTGATCCTAAAAGTATACGTACTATTCAATTGAGTTATTTTCATGTTTTTCAAAGTTTTTATGCAAATAAGAAAAAAGAGAAATTGGAAATAAAGGAACACTACAAAAAAAAAAGTTTGTTCATATACACTCTTTTACTTTTTTACTATGAAATTTTCACTTTCGCTTTAAATATCCCTACATATTTTAAACTCATTTTTAAGCAATTTAAAAAATGCAAGATCAAGAAAACATGTTGATATAGAAGAATGAAAATGATTTGAAAGAGAAATTTGTGATTTACATTATGATATGTATCATACGATTGAAATAGGCTAAGGTGGTGTTATTCAATGATGGATTTTAATAGAATTGAAATCCAACACTAATCCAGTGTTATTAACTTAATGATTTTAAATCTAACTCTAATAGATTTTAAAGTTTGGTGTTATTCAACTAAGAATTAAAATGCTTCATTAAAATCCAGTGTTATTCAAAACTAAAAGACTTGTAAAATCTTTGTATATCAAATCATTTGAAATGAAACATCTTTGGAGTTTCATGAGTAAATCATTAGAATCATAATCCGGGATATACTGCAGAGATTTTAAACTCCACACAAACAGATTGTTAAAAACAATAGCAGAAATCAAATCTAAACCTTTAAGAATTGACTTTAACTCTATAAATGAATAACACCCCCTAAACTATTTATGGCAAAGAAATGTACAAATAGAGGATCACTCTTCACTATCTCATAATCGAGTGGCAAAACATTCTTGATTCACTACAAGAAAACATGTGTTTTGCGAGGGAAGGATTCCTCGTAAATCCCTCGCAAAACGCTTGTAGCAAGGGATTTGCTACGACACATCATTCCTCGCAAAACGCGGCTCGCAAATGTAATATCTTGCAATTTCCTCGCAAATTTTGCGAGGAACTTATTCCCTCGCATATTTTGCGGGGACCACAATCCCTCGCAAAATTTACGAGTAGCACTTCCCTCGCAAATTTTGCTAGGGATTTGCAAGTCTGTTGCGAGTCTTTTTTTGTTTTTTCATTTACGAATTTTATCCTGATTTATTTTTTGTGATTTTAATTTGATTTTCAAAAACATTCAAAAACATAAATGAAATCAGTAAAACATTCAATTAACTGCTAAATGATTCAAAAACATAAGTGTACATTCAAAACATGTCTTAAACCAAATCTTAAAACATAAGTGTTAAACCAATTTAAAACCAAGTCTTAACACACAGAGAAATTAAAAAGCTTGTGAAGTAGAGGAGGCTGGTCTGGTACCAGTTCCTGTCTCAGTTCCGCCGGTCTGATCGGTTCCGGTCTGATCGCCTCCAGTCTCGTTGGCCTCCGCTGTTCTTGTGGCGTCTCCATTTGCCGGTTCAGATGGTCCTCGATACATGCCTGCAAACACTGGATCCTTCTTTGCGAGGTATTGCCAATAGGCATCGAAGCTATTGATCTTCTCAGCCTGAAGTTGAAGACGAGCTTCAGCAGCAGCAAGCTTCTCCAATAGAGCCTCTCGATCATTATGAGTAGGCAGTGGACCAACATGGACTGAGGATGCTTCATTCTGCAGAGAACCAACCCCATACAACCTTCCTTTCTTCCTTGGAGCAACCTGATACAAACCACACAAGTATAATGAGTGGACTGCCAAGAGACTAAGTACTAATGAAATAATCACACAAGTATAATGCTAACAAGTATGCTGCTAACATCATCACACAAGTATGTTGCCAACATCATCACATAATCACATAATCACAGAACACACAAAGACAACACACAAAGACTAAGTACTAATTAAAGACACTCTGAATTGAAATATACAGAATTACCTGAGCATAAATCTTGTTCTTGGCAGCCACTGATAATCCACCTGAAGCAGAGCTCTATGTATTATCCCCTGTAAACAGCTGAGACTCCTCCTCTTCAATCCTTGATGACACTTCCTTGTAGATCTCCTCTGACTTTCTATCAATGAAAGTCCCATCAGGTTTGCGATGAGTTTGCTCAAGAACCACCAGAAAATCTGGAGTTGAATCACCAGTCTCCTCACACTAAAACAAAAGAAAAAAAGTTAAGTGTCAGTTCAATATGCATAAGTATATGTATGAGAAAGAAAACAGAGTTAACTTACATGCTTTCTGGCACGGGATTTGAAAGAGGTCTGGCCAGAACGGTGTTTAGATATACCAAGGCCATCAGGATCATGATATCGGGCATTTCTACTGTTGATACTCCTAATTTCTGATTTAGGATCACGCCAAAAACGAACAAGTCCAGCCCACACTTGAGGATCAATCCATTTAGGCTTTGCCTCATCACCTATATTCTTCCACTTTCCCTTCCACCGAGAAACTTGATCAGACATCCTATCCTTCAACGTGTCCTCAAACTCATCTCTAACTCTCTCATTTATGGACTTGTCCCAGTTGTACATTTGCTTCAAAATAAAAAACAGAGTCAGAAATAGCATCAGTGCATCACATACATTTGTAAAGTAAAACAAAGCTAAACTAAACAATTTTACTTACCGCAAAAGTCTCATACCAACGATTGACCACTGCATCAGGAGTCTATGTCCAATTGGCATGAGGTTCCTTGAAATCTCTTTCAAAAATCTTGCGGACAGAAGCTGCAACTGAAGTATCAATGTCAAACCTACAACAAAAAAAATCAATTACAATGAGAATCTACATTATTAAAATACAATGAATCATATATACAAACCTAAGTAGAACCAAAACTAAAATTAAATTTAAAGTAGAACCAAAATCTTCCTTACCAGAGAGTTCCGGAGGACGATTTGGATCTAGTCTCTGAAGAGACTGAAGCCCCGGACTGTCAAGGAGCTCCTCCAATGTCAGATCGTTGAGACGCCCAGTTGGTGGTTGAGTAGCTGAATGAGATGGATTAGGAGAGTTTGGATTGGATGGTGGAGGAGACAGACCGGCTTGTTGGTTTTGACTGGCTGGTGAGGGTGGATGCATTCCCATGAGAATTGGAAGCACGAGGAACAGTGCCTTGAGATCTGGAAGCACGAGGAACAGGTGCATTCCCTTGAGATAGACATCTACGAGAAAAGAAAGAAAAAATTAGTAACCAAAAGAGAGAAAGATGCACGAAATCAAACCCTAAATCAAACCCTAATCTAAACCCTAATTAAAACCCCAAATTAAATCCCCAAATCAAACCCTAAGTCGATTCTAAACCCTAATTGAACCCGATTTAAAACCCTAAATTAAACCCCCAAATTAAATCCCCAAATCAAACCCTACAAGAAAATTTAAAACCCTAATTGAATCCCGATTTAAACCCTAATTGAAACCCTAATTAAAAACCCAAATTCAATTCCTAATCCAAACCCTAAATCGATTTAAAACCCTAATTGAAACCCGATTTAAACCCCTAATTGAAACCCTAATTAAAACCCCAAATTCAAACCCTAATCCAATCCCTAAATCGATTTAAAACCACAAATCAAACCCTAAAGAAACCCTAAAACGAATTAACACGAAATCAAACCAAAATCAATTCAAATCGACAAAGAAAATACAAAGAATAAAGAGAGCAAACACTTAAACCTTTTGCAAAATCTTCAGATCTGAGAATCGAAGACCAGAGAAGAGAGAATCGGAGTATGAAGTGAACCAGAGAGGAGAGAATCGGAGAAAGGAAGAGAATCGGCGAAAGAAGAGATCGGAAAAGAGAGAATCGGCGAAGGAAGAGAGAATCGGTGAAATAGGGTTTTCGCGATATGCGGCTGGTTTGAGCTTCGCTCAAACTAGGTCATTAGTATATATAGATATTTGACACGTCGCAAATCCCTCGCAAAATTTGCTAGGATTTTGCGAGGAACCGCCAAAACAACCAATCAAAACAAGGCATATATTGCGAGGGAATTGCGAGATTACCTAGTAAATCCCTCGCAAAATCTTCATTAGGGTTTTAAAAAAAACACAAAGACATGCTTGAATATTATTACTCATGTATTATTCATTTTCTGATTCATTTTTCTATTTCTAGAAACTCCCTCAGAAAAAAAAACATGACTAAATATTTTAAATAATTTAGGGTTTAGGGTAAAAATTTGCGAGGGAAGTGCTACGAACGCCTTGCAAATCCCTCGCAAATCCTTTATTTAGGGTTTTAGTTTTGCGAGGGAATTACTTGTATCCCTGGCAAAACTCTCGCAAAACCCTCGCAAAATAGAGATCAATTTGAAAAAACCAACAAAACACTACTTAAAATCATTAAGATTCATTTTTTTGAATCACTAGGAAGTTAATTATCTACATTAGAATCTACTTTCTCATCATATACTTCGAATTCATCCGAATGTGCATTTTCTTAATGATCATCTTATATTTTTCTATAATATGAATCCAATGTTTATAATATTTTTAAAAGAAAATGTTAATATTGAAACCTATCCAACATTTTTTTATGCATCACTATATATGTACTTGTCTGATTATATGGCCTCTTAGATTCACATTTATAAATGAAAATCAAAGATCGCAAAACAGTTTTACGTATTTTAGGGTTTAGGGTAAAGATTTGCGAGGTATGTGCGGGTTATTTGCGACGGAGTAAATATTTCCCGCTAATTACTCGTAAGTGCCTCGCAAATTTGCGAAGAAACTTTCCCTCGCAAAATTTGCGAATAAACTTTCCCTCGCAAAATTTGCGACGGATTTGCGACCCGCGTCCTTTTCGTAGCAAATTACTTGCAATGCCCTCGCAAATAGGGATGGCTTCCCTCGCAACTTTCCGTCGCAAAGACTGTTTTCTTGTAGTGATTTTTCTAAGGATAAACATTCTGCAATTGTTATTTATCTGCGTAACTTAAGGCTCATTGTCATGTCTGAGAAGGCACTTAGGAAATTCTTTTTCACGATTGTGTCGCAACTACGATCATTGAGCGTTTCGAGTTGTTATTTTATGGATTCAGATCTTCTATTCAGATCTTCTATTTAACTACTACTCTATGTTCATGTTTTTGTTTTGAGAATTGTATTCACTAATAGTATATGTTCGTGTTTTTGTTTTGAGTTTTGGATTCAATACTAGTATATGTTCGTGTTTTTGTTTTGAGAATTGGATTCACTAATACTAGAATTGGATTCACTAATACTAGTTGTGTCTATGTTCGGGTTCAACATTTCCACAAGGAACATTATTTTGAACCAGACCAAATGAAATATGAGCCAAACAAGTTAATAACGTAAATCGAAAAACTAAAAAATAATAATAATATACAAGTACGAATCAAGCAAATTGAGGATTCGTGTGGTACACGGATTCGAGGAAAGAGATCTCTTCTGATGGATCGAGTAAATTGTGGAGGTTGAAATAAGTTTATTAAGTGTTTGATCCTCTACCATTTGGAGGATAGATCAATTTGATGAGTGTAATTGTATATATTGGCGTGTTTATTTTGGTTCTAAAAGACGATTCAAGTTATGCATATAAGTTGTTTGATTAAATGTCTTAATGAAGATTGTGTGAATTTTGCTTAGATGGATTTGAGTACGGGTTCATCAAGTATGTGTAGATCTTCTAGAGTTCTGAAGAAGTGTGATTGTGGATTGTTAGGAAAAATATTCACATCAAAAACTAAAAAGAATCCTGGTAGAAAGTTCTTCGGGTGTCAATTGTACAAGGGTATGCTTGTTGTGTGTGTGTGTGTTTTGTTTTTGTCGAACTGATGAAAATTGTGCAACCACATTTTTAGTTTTTTTTTTTGTCTTTGTAAGATGGTGGAACTGATCATTGCAAGTACTTTAAGTGGTTCGTTCATGAAGAGTTTAAAGGATGGTCGCGAAATGCATTGATTCAAGTTTTAGATGAAAATTGTGAGAAGAAAACCCTGATAGATCAACTCCAGATGAGAATCATGGAACTTCAAAGTGAATCGGAGAATCATGTGGAAGATACAGAGAAAGTCAAGTATAGACAACGATTGATCATCACAGGATTATCCGGAGTGCTTGCATGTGCGAGTGGAACCATAATATTTTGTTGACTTTTAGGTAACAATTTGTTTGCCATACTTTTCAATATTTAGTCTTCTTAATCTATTGTGGATTTATACGTATTTAAGCAAACATAAAAAAGGTTATCTTGTCTTTGTCACAATTGCATCAAAAAAATAGAATGATCATACTAAAAAAAGGTAATAAAACACCTAGTTAATATGTTTAGACGATTGATCATACATAGATTGATCAAAGAAATCACTCATAAAACACCTAACTGATATCAATCAATTTCGATGTTATCGGACGATAGATGCGGAGGTTGATATACTCCATTCGCTCAATTAAGATAGGATCATTAGCAGCTTCCCAAAGGTCTACTACAATATTCAAACGCGCATTTTTTATGTTCGCATCGATTATCAAATCCATTTCTAGCTAAAGCATAAGACACTCGATGTATTTCAACGCATATACTCCGCAGTTACTCTTCTTATTATTCAGATTAGGTGGCACCTTGACATTTATGATCTCATATTGTGTCAAAAAAGAATTTTCTCATATACTTTCGAGTGTAGTTCTTTCAAAATCCGAAGGATGCTGTATGTGAATGATTCCACTTGCCTTCTGTTGTTGTTTCCGGAACAGTCGAAAACTTCGACAAACGCATTAGTGAAACTCTGTCTACTCAACAAAATCACACACACACATATACACTTACCCGAATCCAAAGAACTTAAGAAAACTACATGCAATTAAAATTGAGACATGTATATCTCACGAAATAGAGACATCCAAAAGATTTACTCGCAATGTAGATCTAGAACTTCAATTAGAGTGATTAGCGATTGATTGGAAATATGAGCCGAAAAAAATAATTAGATGAATCGTGAAAAAAGAGGAAGACGAACTAAGAGGAGGACGAAAGAAGATCAAAACTTCTCCTAGATGAGAATAGGACGACGATAGATGAGAATAGGACGATGAAAAAAGATCGAAGATTCGTCCAGATGAGATACAGTCGAAGAGATCGCCGGCGGAATCGAATTTGGTCGAACAAAAGAATTTTATTTTGTTTCCCCCGTTTTCGACAAATAAGAAAGAAAAAAAGAAAGTCCCTGTTTTTAATTAAAGTTTGGGAGAAACCACTTATTCAACTAGAGGTTTTGAACTCTAGAGATATCTATTTGAATTTTGTGAATAATTAAGGTTTTTTTTTAATTTTGTTAGTTAATTTTTTGAAAAAAATAGGGTAAATATGGGTTTTGATTATTATACAATTTACCGAACCAAACTTTTCAAATAAAAGTATATATGAACATTTATCCAAATCCTTTATTTCCAATTTTCTCAAAAAGGTTCTCAGGGTTTTTTCATTATAACAGTTATTGTTGGTTTCACAAGCTTTAAAGGCATCAAACTTATTGTTCTGAGGGTGTGGATAAGTTTCTCAAAGATGTGGATTTGTTTCAGCCCGATGATCTCTTCCCCGATCACCATCCGAATAATCTCTAGGACCATCCCAAGTACCATAACTGTGATCTTATGGATCTAATGTTCTCCCCTTTGAGGATGAGGACTAGAAATTAAGAGGTCTATAATCCATTCTCCTCTAGACGTTTCCCCGATTCATAGATGCATTGCACTTACCATCTGCTTTGCAAGATCGATAATCATTGGATGGGATGATTGGCTTGGGTGGAGATGGGGCAACGTCTGGTCTATACTATGAGGAGCTGTGGAAAGAGGAATAATCCAGCGAATCTAAAACTTCTGAACAGATCCTTGAGGTGCATACTAGGGACTTCTTTAGTAATGCGACCTTCACTATGAAACTCTGAGTTGAAGGAGCAAGAATCAACTTCATGGAAAATATGATGACATTCAAAACATCACCAGTAGTGTTTCTCATACGTTAGAGAGACCCACACAATTTCACCAGTTAGGATTTGTGCATTCTTCCAAAATTATAAGTGGATCCAAAACATATGGTATTAGGAAACACATCTCCGACATGTGGTTCCTATCTCTCCAAATCAAAGGACCAATGGTTGAAATGGTATGGTCTTTTGTTGAGAATCTTATCGAGATCTCTCTGTAAGTCAAAATTAAGAGTAGAAATATATGGTAAGATCTTCACTTTTCAAAAAACCCCAAAAATATGGTTTTTTTCGAAAGCAAGGGAAAATATGCTCCGGTTAAATCACTAAAAATGTGAGGACGTAGTAGGACATCCATAAAGTTCAATGAAAATTGCTATTTTGAGAGAAAGATGGAAGAAAGTTGCCAATTTTAGAATTTAAGAGTAGGTGAGATCTGCTTTTTTGAACCAAAGTGGCTTTTTTTAAAGGGATTTTGGTCTAATGTGTCATTCACTGTAGCAAAACTTATACAAATTGCCACAAAAAGTTTTCTTTTCTCAATGTGCCATTTCTCCACTTTATGGCAGACAAACAAAGACGAAAATATCCTCAGACGAAAATATCTAAATATCATATATTTGGTGGACAAAACTTTGTTTCGAAAAATTTTGGTAGACAAAAAATATTATCCACATTTGAAACAACAGATTGGGATGATATTTGGTGGACAACAAATATTGTCCACATTTGAAACAACAGACTTCAAAGAAATTTGGTGAACAAGAATTCGAAACGGCATACTTCAAAAATTTTGGTAGACAAGAAATGTTGTCCACATTTGAAACAATAGATTGAGAAGATATTTGGAGTACAACAAATATTGTCCACATTTGAAACAAACAGACTTCAAAGAAATTTGGTGGACAAAAATTCGAAACGACATAATTCGAAAATTTTGGTAGACAAGAAATGTTGTCCACATGTATCTTCTTCTTTCTCAGATTTAGATTCGTCCCCACTTTCCAAACCAGATTCATACCCAGATTTTTTTATCTCGCTAAATCGCCAACGATGTATTCCTAGATCGAAAACGTGATGAACTCTTATATCTAAGGAGATTGAACTTCATTTTTTAGAGAAAAAAGAAAGAGAGAGAGAGAGAGAGAGAGAGAGAGAGAGAGAGAGAGAGAGAGAGAGAGAGAGAGAGAGAGAGAGAGAGAGAGAGAGAGAGAGAGAGAGAGAGAGAGAGAGAGAGAGAGAGAGAGAGAGAGAGGAGAGAGAGAGAGGAGAGAGAGGAGAGAGAGAGAGAGAGAGAGAGAGAGAGCAAAAAAGCTTTCTCTCTAAAGGGCAAATTGGACTTTGCAAGTTGGGTTAGAAATTGGATTGTGGCACAATTGAAAATGATTTGTGGGATGTGGCAATTTTGGTAAGAATTGCTACAGTGTGTGGCACATTTCTTAGATTTCTCTTTTTTAAATATTTATTCTAGAGGAGTTCTACCCTTTTAATGAAATTTTACCTTAGTTTTTTCACAACTGCTCACCTATATCATTTTTACAAACTGTTTCGACCGTAGTTACTGAATATTGATAGATTGATGAATTTATTCACTTAATAAACTTGAACAAACAGATGAATGTTTTCTCTTTTTTGTTAGTTAAATAGTTAAAAATGTAATAAAATTACATACTTTTCTCCAAAAGCATTCATCTTACAAATTATACCAAAGAGTTTTATCGTGTCCCCAACTTATCAAAATATCAATTTCGAATGCCAAACTCAAACCGGATCCGATCTATTTAACTCCAAAAAACTTCTCCAGCCTTAGATCATTCATGTGCCTTAAACAACAAAATCTCACAAAACTACATAAATCGGCTTGGCTCAGAGTAAATAAACAGTGCAGTTCCAATAATGTGCCCAAATTGCAATATATTGCTCATAATTAAAACATGTCTTTATACAAAAAAAAAAAAATCTCCCATAAGAAGAATCAGCCGTTAGACACGTACATGTGAACACATGTCTCACGCCGCTATAAATACTTCAGACCTCTCCCTTACACTCACCCACCCAAGTTTACAGGCTCCGACTAAAATTAATTCGGATCTAACCCGACCCGGTAAAACCAATCCCAAATTTTACTCCGTCGTGAACGCATCAAAGCCAGAAATTTTCTTCCTCCAATCTCGCACTCTTCGCTTCCATAATCCCCAAATCGTTTCGTTGATTTTTCCAAAATCGGGAGATGAAGCTAACGGACGATAACGAAGAGGTTACGATGAACGGAACTCGAGAAGTGGAGACGGCGGAGGAGGAGATTTCGTCGCCGTGTTCGTTAGTGATCGAAGCGTTTCCGGTGAAGAGATCGATTATTGTAGGTTATGCTCTTACATCGAAAAAGATTAAGAGCTTTTTGCAACCAAAACTCGAAGGTTTAGCTAGGTTTGTGATTCTGATTTTTGATAACCCTAATTTTTCTTTTGTGCTTTCATGCAGAGTTTTGATGATGGCTTCGTGTTTCAAATTCTCAATTTTTAAATTAGTTTTCATAAGAATATTCTCTTCACTATTTAATTGTTTTATCGTTTGATTTTTCCTTTGGAATCTTTGACCTTATATTCTTTGTTAAAATGGTTTATATGTTGTTTCTGTGCAATTTTCCTCTGAGTTTACATGTTCTTCAATGTAGCTTTCACAGTTGTTCTTCGGCTAAAATGGATTTATGTAAAAGTATGTGTATGTAGTAGCTTCATTGATCTCTGAATTTAGTAATTTATTGTGTAAGACTAAGACATGTACCCTAGTGGTTTGTGCTAGTGTTGTCAGGGTCAAATCCACATAATGCATGTTGTTGACGAAAAATTAAAAATAAATGTTTAGTTCGTGTGTCTCTTTAGGCGCTACTGTTTTGAGAAGTTTGTTTGTTTTTGTGCAGGAATAAGGGGATATTATTTGTGGCAATAGATCAGAATAGGCCACTTTCAGAGCAGGGTCCGTTTGATATTGTGTTGCATAAGGTTAGTTTTTTCGATCTTTGTTAACCCACTTGGTTTTCTGATACCTCGTCTTATTTTTGCCTATGCTTGCTATTTGGCCTTTGTCAGAAGATATGTCTTGGGAACATCCCCTGCACAGGTTGTTAGAAACTAACCTTGTCCGCATCCTCTTGCTCAGCTTCTTTTCATCCACGCCTGATTATCCTCATTTGGTGTTTGTTTTACATGTACTGCAGCAAATTGGAAAAGAATGGCGTCGAATTCTTGAGGTTTGTTAACTTAATATTCTTTCCCCTATTTTGTTTGCGGGGACACATTCTAGCCCGACTTGTTAGATATACGACCTTGTATGTTTCCTTTCCGTGGTGATGAGAGATGGTGGTACATTGCCAAAGCTATCAACTAGTTTTCTTATATTGTCCAAATCTGGTTTCTCGATGGAAAATTTTCCAGAAGTCATCCTCTTTCCTGTCATGAATCATGACTCGATACATGAACATAATAATAGCTGAATGCACAATCATTTATCTTTAAGTAGAAACAATACTCTCTTTTCTGCTTATATAAGACATTTCAGCTCGTTTTCTGGGTCGCCCACATCTATTTTTCATGTTTTCAAAGGATGCTAACCTTAGGATTTGCTTAAGTAGCTTTTGGCTATATCTCTCATAGTTGCTAGAATAATAGAGATGAAAGTATACTGTTTAGTTTGAAAATATCATCACCGTCTCTGTGTGTTTACATCCTGGAGCTATTCAAATCTCAGGAGATTCGACTATGTTTCATTAGGAAGATGCCAATTTCTGAGGCTAGTTGAATACTAGATTTATACTCTTCTGATGATATGCACTGATAATATAGAATAGTGTACAATGAAGTTTTAGTTTTAGTTGAACTATCATCCGTAGATTAGTTAATCCTTAATCTTAGTTGCAGGATAGTGAAGAGTTCAACTTGGGATATACATTTTCTAGACTGACACTGTCGCTGTGTTAAAAAAACTGTAGTAAACCATTATCTCAGGAGATCTCAGCAATACAGGGATATAAGTTTTCTGTTTATGTGACCATCAGCAGGGATGCGCTTTTGGGTGTTGAAAATTAGACTAGGTGTGAGCCTAATGATTTCTAATTATTTCAGGAATTTAGGCTAGCACATCCAGATGTCACAGTTCTCGATCCTCCAGATGCAATACTACATCTCCGTAATCGTCAGTCAATGCTTCAGTGTGTTGCGGACATGAATCTATCTGATAGTTATGGTAAATATTTCTGTGTAATCACCTGCTATTTGCTATTAGGGATATCAGAGTGTCAATATATCTGACTTGTAGAAATTGCTCTGGCTGTGCAGGACGAGTGGGTGTGCCCAAGCAATTGGTAATTAAAAGGGATGCTTCCTCAATCCCGGAAGCTGTCAATAAAGCTGGGCTGAGACTACCTCTTGGTATGACTTTTGGTTTAGCTTCATGCGGCATCTTGCTGTCTTTTACCAAAATCAATCATGGGCTGTGTTTACTTAACTGAAGTTTTAGTTGTTATTTTCAATGACTTCGTGGGTAAATTAATTTTATTTGGTGTTTATCAAAACCTCAGTTGCAAAGCCATTGGTTGCTGATGGAAGTGCAAAGTCACATGAACTTTCTCTGGCTTATGACCAGCACGCCCTTCTGAAGCTCGAGCCTCCTCTTGTTCTTCAGGAGTTTGTTAACCATGGTATGAGATTTTAGAGGCTATCATTGCGTATATTAGAACTTAGTTCATTTGATAATCTAAGAAAATGCTGGGGTTTCTTAGGTGGTGTTCTTTTCAAAGTTTATATTGTTGGGGAAGCAATTAGAGTGGTCCGGCGTTTCTCCCTGCCTGATGTCTCTAGACGAGAACTCTCCGAAGCAGCTGGTGTATTCAGATTCCCCCGGGTCTCTTGTGCTGCAGCTTCAGCTGATGATGCAGATTTGGACCCGAACATTGCTGGTAAGATCTTCTTCATCGCCACTGACATGGCTAAAATTTTTCTTGTTGCAATAAACAATGTTCTTATTCTCGTTGCAGAGCTTCCACCACGTCCTCTGTTGGAGAGACTGGCAAAGGAACTCCGTCGTGGATTGGTATGTTTGTTTGAGTCCTCTCTACTATATCCAAGCAGTAGTATCTTATCAAACTCTACTGATTTCTAATATATTTCAGGGTCTACGGCTGTTTAATTTAGACATAATTAGAGAGCACGGGACAAGAGATCGGTTTTATGTAATTGACATCAACTATTTCCCAGGCAAGTTTGATTTCCACACCTTTTTACAGTAGTATATCACATAAACATGTGATCTAAGAATAAAAAAATGTGCAGGGTACGGAAAGATGCCAGAGTATGAGCATGTATTCACTGATTTCTTACTGAGTGTGGTACAAAGCCAATGCAAGAAACGAGCCTTGACCGATCAATACTAACTCACGGAGACACCATTGTTCCTCAAAGAAAAAAAACCAAAAAATGAAGATTAGTCTATGCAATTTATTTCTGTACAGGACAGAAAGCACCGATTTCCCTCGATGTTGTTCTTTAGCTTCATTGTGCTGTACAAAGAACAATGGAAGATTGCATTAAACGAAAATCCTTGGACCTTTTGGAGATTTAAGGATAGAGAATTTGTCTGAATCTCATGACAATGTCTCCATATCAAAAAGTGAATAGACCTTTATGTCACCCAACTTCTCACTCAAATGGGCAATGGCCTTTGAAGAGTTCCTCTTTTTCACTTTGTACTGCTCCTATCTTTTGATTTGTTTGGCTTTGTACTATTTTCACCTTAAATATATCCTTTCTTTTGGTTTTAATCTGCTTCTATCTTTTGATCATTCTTTTTCCGAGGATTCTTAAAATTTTGACATCACAAATTGTTGATTATTGAATTTATTGAATACAATCATTTTAAAACCTTATGTAGTACAAATTTTGGTTAGATATAGTGTGAAACGTCTGAGGATAAAAACCCTTTTGAAACCTTAAAAATTAGGTTTACTTGCATTGTAAGGTTTAATAAACACACAAGTAGGAAAACGAAACCTGAGCTTCAGCTTTGAATTTTTTCTTTCTTCACATGCTTGTCTATGACAACAATTGAAGCCTTATATTTCAATTCAAGCAAACTACACTTTCCAGGGTTTAAGACAAAGCAATTGTAGTTTTCTCTGTTTTCTTCTCCAAATCAGAAAATCAATAATGTTTTTCTGTTTTTAGTATTGTCTCTAGCTCTTTCTTGTCTTGGAGTTCACTTGAAAACTCTCAATGTTCTGTCTTTGACATAGAAGCATATATATAGCAGGGCTGGTTCCTCAACCCAACCAACTACTTACCTCTCCAGTTCCTAAACCTTAACCTTTTCAACAATTATCTTTGTTTTTGTGTTCTTAATCTTCTTCGCTTATGGAGAAGAATACAAATATGAACCATACAAGTGATGATGATAATGATAAGGTTGTCGGTATTTAGCTTCTTCTTAATCATAGTATGCTAATGTTTCTCTAACTAGAGTTATTTTGTATTTTCTTCTAGCAGCATCACACTAACGAAGAGCAGGAGAAGATAATCCTAAACCCTAATTTTGAGGATGGCCTGAACAACTGGACTGGAAGAGCGTGCAAGATTGTCTTACACGAGTCCATGGACGGCGGGAAAATCGTTCCGCTCTCGGGAAAAGTTTTCGCAGCGGCAACACAGCGTAAAGACACATGGAATGGGATTCAACAGGAGATTTCAGGAAGATTCCAGAGGAAGCGTGTGTATGAAGTAACAGCAGTAGTTCGAATATTTGGCAACAATGTCACTAGTGCAACAGTACAGGCGACTCTATGGGTCTTAAACGCAAACCAACGAGAACAATACATAGTCATTGCCAAGTCCGTTTCGCCTCTTTTTTTCATCTTCTCCATTGCTAAATATCAATATCTTGATATAATAAATTCATTAAACTGATAGAGTTTGGTATGTCAATGAATCATATTAGTGTGCAGGCGACTGATAAGAACTGGGTGGAGTTGAAGGGTAAATTTGTAATCCATGGTTCGCCATCGAGGGTAATACTATACCTTGAAGGTCCACCTTCAGGATCTGACATTCTTCTCAACAGTTTAGTTGTTAAACATGCTAAAAGGAATCGTCCATCGCCTCCTCCTTTCTATGAGGTCAGTCCCTTTACCATAAAATTAAATAACACTAGGCTGATGGTTATCAATCTATGAATCAAGAACAGAGATTCTTTCTTGCTAGACATTACCGAATTCACGTAGGAATTGCAAGTTCCAAATATTAGTCTGAGAAAACGGTTCTTTTGGGGATAGTAATCTGTTTTTGTTGGCAGAATCCCGGTTTCGGAGTCAATATAGTCGAAAACAGTGAAGTGGTAAACGGGGCAACCCAACCATGGTTCACCCTAGGAAACTGCAAGTTGAGTGTTGGACAAGGCGCTCCTCGCACTCTGCCCCCAATGGCGAGAGACACGCTCGGTCCTCACAAACCTCTAAGCGGAAACTACATCCTCGTGACTAACAGAACGCAGACTTGGATGGGTCCGGCTCAGATGATAACCGAGAAACTCAAACTCTTCTTGACATATCAAGTTTCAGCATGGGTCAAGATTGGTGTGGGAGTGAGTGGTAGTAGTATGAGTCCTCAAAATGTGAACATTGCACTTAGTGTCGATAACCAATGGGTCAATGGAGGACAAATCGAGGTCACCGTTGGTGATACATGGCATGAAATCGGCGGATCCTTTAGGCTCGAAAAGCAGCCACAAAACGTCATGGTTTACGTTCAAGGTCCTGCAGCTGGCATTGATTTGATGATCGCGGCACTGCAGATTTTCCCCGTGGATCGTCGAGAACGTGTCAGATGTCTCAAAAGACAAGTTGATCAGGTTCACATTCTCTTCAAATTTCCTTAGATATGCACTTTAATAAGTTATTGACTTCAAGAATGCTGTTTCTTGGTAGGTACGTAAGCGCGACATAGTCTTGAAATTCTCGGGACTAGACGAGGACTCCTTCGATTTGTTTCCTTACATAGTGAAGGTTAAACAAACATACAACAGTTTCCCAGTAGGAACATGCATTAACAGAACAGACATAGACAATGAAGACTTTGTAGATTTCTTCACAAAGAACTTTAACTGGGCAGTGTTTGGAAACGAGCTTAAATGGTACTCGACAGAAGCCGAACGAGGAAAGGTAAATTACCAAGACGCAGACGACATGTTAGATCTCTGCATTGGTAACAACATAAACGTTAGAGGACATTGCATCTTCTGGGAAGTTGAATCCACTGTTCAGCCATGGGTTCGGCAGCTTAACAAAACCGATCTTATGAACGCGGTCCAAAAGCGTCTCACGAATCTTCTGACCCGATACAAAGGTAAATTTAAGCACTACGATGTCAACAATGAGATGCTTCATGGTTCTTTCTATCAAGACAAACTTGGAAAAGGTGTAAGAGCACTTATGTTCAACATTGCACATAAGCTTGATCCATCTCCTCTGCTTTTCGTGAACGATTATCATGTTGAAGACGGGGATGATACACGTTCGTCCCCCGAGAAGTATATAAAACTTGTTCTTGATTTGGAAGCTCAAGGAGCAACAGTAGGAGGGATTGGGATCCAAGGACATATAGATAGTCCTGTTGGAGCTATTGTTTGCTCTGCTCTTGATAAGCTCTCTGTTCTTGGTCGTCCCATTTGGTTCACAGAGCTTGATGTCTCTTCGAGTAATGAATATGTTAGAGGAGAAGATCTTGAAGTTATGTTATGGGAAGCATTTGCCCACCCTGCAGTTGAAGGTATTATTTACTTCACTTTTCCCAATTTTATTACTACAAAAGTAAAATATATGTTATTATTACAAGTTGAGTATTTTTTTTCTTTAAAAAAGTTGAGTATTTTTATCAAATTTTTTTGTTACGATTTAAACCAAAATTGAATTTCACAAGCTTGACAAAATATTTTAAACGTAGTAATTAGTAAATATATAAATGGGGAAAATGTCAAAAAACCACCAACTTTTAAATTTGCTTGAAAATAGCACCAATTTTCCCTTGTTTTTTAAATCACCAACTTTTGTCAACTTTTTTTTATATATTTTAATTACATTAACGGAACAAATTAACGGATTAAGTCTCCGTTTGTGATTAACTAAAAATCAACAAAAGTTAGTTATTTAAAGTGTCCACAGGAAAATTGACTATCCAATACATATACTTTAATAAAATTACTTATAGTCATTTTTTTTACTAAATGAAATCACTGGAAAATTGTTTTAAACATTATTTTAGTGGATAAAATTTTTGTTTCATAACCTTTTTTTTTTTTTGTTATCACTTTTATATGGGAATCTTAATAAGATGTATACTTATATTTTGGGACACAAATTTGATGTTTAACAGGAATAATGCTATGGGGTTTCTGGGAACTATCTATGAGTAGAGAGAACGCGAATTTGGTGGAGGGAGAAGGAGAAGTAAACGAAGCCGGAAAAAGATTTCTCGAGGTGAAACAAGAATGGTTATCTCATGCATATGGGATCATCAATGATGAATCAGAGTTCACATTCAAAGGCTATCATGGGACTTACGCCGTTGAAATTTGTACTCCGGCTGGGATTGTTCTCAAAACGTTCGTTGTCGAAAAAGGAGACACTCCACTTATTATATCCATTGATCTCTCTTCTTTGTGATGTTTGTGTTTGTGTTTTTTTTTTCCTTGTGATTTCTCTTATATATGGGTATTTGTTCTTCGTGAAGTACGTAACATATGTACACAAAGTTATGTTATGTGTTTCTTTTTGATTGTTTTGTACAATTGCAATAAAAACTTGTGAAAATGATTGTTATGACAATATTGCTTGAATTTCATTTCAAGCTTATATTAAGAATAAACGTGTTTTTTATTGAGCTTTCCAAGTCCAATCCAACTCCCCATAATATGATATTATCCGCTTTATGTCTACATGCTCAAGCCCGCACGGATTTGTTATTGGGTTTCTTCCCAAAATGCCTCATACTAATTGTAGTTGGACTTTACTTATATATTAGAAACTTATTTTCTAAACTTCCGATGTGGGACGTTGGTTTGTACCCAACATTTTTTGTATGACGGTGCCTTATCTTTTTGAAGGTTAAATTCAAAATCTAGAGTAGATAATCATTGGACAAATCATTAAGGTTGTGGATTAAACATTGATTGAAAAACTAAGTACACATGTGTCACACATGATGTGTGATCAAAGGATTAAGTATGCGTATAAAATTATCATGTTAAGAGTGAAGGTGTTAGTTATTTATTGTTATGTTGTTCATGTACTAGGATAATATGTTGTCATTGACCAAATTATACACCCTCGACTTTCTTTGTGTGATCGTTGCTACCTTTGAGCCTAGCTACTGGAGAGGAAACGAAGATTTGTAGTAGATTTCAAGTGTCTCTTGCCATTGTTTCATTTTTATTTAAAATATTTATTGTTTCTACGTTTCCGTTAAGTGTTTATATATTTTATTCAGTTATATTTAACGGTATCATCAAAACTAATGTCTTTTTTTATATATATAAAGTTATTGCTTGTAAATGGAATTAACTCTGTTCTAAACAGACCAACCTGTTATATGGACAACCATGATATCATCCTAATCGGGCTGAGGGATATGTCTTTAAATGTACAACTTGTTTCAAGAAAATCGTCACACTACCACCTCCATCTATTTAGATGAATTACATATGATGTGAAAGTGTATGTGACTAAATGGACAAAGGTGCTACACATAGTAAGAAAAAATAAGTATTAACAAATAGAAATGATGATACTAAGGGAAAATGATAATGTCTTTCATTGTCTAAAGAAAAAAAAAATTAAATTACATTTTGAAAAAATTCATGTTCTTATCCCTCCTCAGTTATCGAGCAACCCACTTTGAACAAGATCTCCGACACCGGTAATCGTCGGCGTCAGACCGTTTCCCTCTCCATAGATGATTCTCTCTTCTCTATTTTGCAATTTCTGTTTCTTATGGTTGTAATGTTTTCGATCTCTCGGGTTTTCCCAAAAATGTTTTCTACTTTTCGGCAAGGCGACTCGTGTCCACCGAGAACTTTCTTTGACTTGGCCTCTGAACCTTCGTCCTTACCAACTATCTCAGGATTTCAACTTGAAGAAGCGTGTGTATCTACTCTTAGCCTCAAAGTATCCAAATCCGCCTCAAGTATCGAACCCAAACCTAATCTCACACATTCATCTAAATCCATGGAGTATAGCTGCTGGCAATCCTTGTCGACCAACGACCTCGTCGAAATTCAGCAACGCTCGAACCGGTGTTGAAGATGGCTGCGGAAGGATTAATCCAAGCCCATCAAGCATCCTAAGTCCCAGATCCCTCAGTCACTATCCCCAATTAGTACCGTAGCTCGCTGTTCTTACCTGCCCTGATCCCATAACCTCCGATGATGCCCCATTCAATTTTGACGATGACTGCTCAAACGCCGACCAATACTTCTTCTCAATACAATTGGGCGCCCACGATCATCTCCCCAACTGAAGCAACTCTAAGGTTTTGTTTGTTAGGCGTCTCACCTTGTTGTGGCCCGATAATCTTGTCTCGGCCCACTTCCGAATGTTTTAGCACAATTTTTATTTCAAATAGGCCCGGGTTTGTCTCATTAAACTTTCTCCAAGCCCATTTATTTTCATTTCTATTGTTTGAACGATCGAGGCCTCTGTTCTTGCTTTGAAGTGACATTTTTAAATTGTCTTTGCGATTACCACTTACACAAACATTGATGCTAAGCCTTCAATGAAAATTTAAGCTTGAAAATCTCAATCACTCATACCTTAGGATTTCTAATCCAGCTCCCTCATCTAGCCTATGACCAATTTTAGAGAGATCTCGAACCAAGATTCTTTGTTAAAACTCCACTCTTATCTGACCTCAAGGGTCTTCAGCGTCCAAGCTCCTGCATCATGGAGAGAATCTCGGATCCACCCTCCTCCTTTGTGGAGAGAACCCGTCCACGTCTCATAGCTATCTCAACGTAGTTCGCGTCAGCAACTCATGAAGCTAAAGACTCTTTTCTAATGTCACATGATCTCCTGATAGTGACTAATGTTAAATTTTCCGAAGTGTTCGCGGAACTGTCTTTGAAAAACTGTTATCTCGTTTGTGGCATGTTGCGATGTAGCCTTTGACTCCGAGCTTCTATAGATCTATCAACGAAATTTAATGCTTCCCTATTCTATCTATGTATTCTTATTGTAAGCTTGTGTTTGCTAAGCCTTTTATACCCCACCATTAGGTTTATGATCGATATTGTACTCTTGATCTTCCTTTGAGATTGAATGAATAGATAACAAGTATGTTTTGAACAATTTACATTTTGAGTTGTTGAAATCATGTTATTTAATTGTTTTGGGATGCCTAATTTGTCAAGTAAAATGTTATTTTCTACACACACATGTAGTTTATCAAATAGATGTTTTGGTCAATTGCAGTTTTTTTTTTCATCTAATTGTTATGAAATGAACACAATTTCTACAACAAGTTAACTTTTAATATGAAAATATAATATATTTATTATATTTTCATTAGTGTGATCTATCTTTTTTAAAATCAAAATTCAGAAAATATCATGCTAACATGTTATATACTCTCGCTGTATCACAAAGAATGATTTTTGAGGTTTTATTGTTGTATCAAAAAGATTGATTTTCTATAAATTTTTATCAATTAATGTTAATAAATTGTGAATTTCAAGAATCATTAATTGAGAATTTTTAAATTTGATGAATTATTATTGGTTAATAGCTATGAGAAATGGTTTGGTATAAAAAAATAGTACATTTATAACTAAACATTAAATGTTTAGCTTAATTAGTGTGAAAACTCTATAAAATCATTTTTTTATACGAAGGGAGTATATGTTAGGATGTTAAATATTAGTAAAATTCATTTATGTTAACACCAAATAAATTTATTTATTAAAGTACCTTCATTAAATATCATGCTAAAATTCATCTCAAATTTGGTCAATATCCTTTATTATTAGCCAATATCAGCAACTCATCAACTTGTTTATTTTATTATATAAAATATTTCTTTGAGTAAAAAAAAAAATTCTCATCACTATTTACCAAATTAACTCAATAGAAACAAAAACAGTTTTCATTTCTTTCTGTTTTTTTTTTACTATAATTAATTTAATAGGGAAGATGGAATGTGGGCCAATGAATCTTTAAAATATATATAACAATATTAGAAAGACAAAAAAATATAGTAAATGTTATAATAAATAAAAGAGAGAGAGGAACAGTAAAGGACAGTCCTTGGGACTAGACTAAGTGGGAGTGATGAGGGGTCTGAGAAGAGGAGGCAGTCTCTAAAAAGCTCTTTTCTTTTCCTTCGTCTGGTAACTTTCAGATCCCAGTTTGTTAGTATCTCTGTCGTCACTTAAAATAATTGACCTCTCTTCTTTTTTCGTCTCCTTAAATCTAACCCCATTCTATAATTTACTTACATGTCTTGTGTTGTGTCCCTTGCTCTTGATTACTACTTATAGAAGTAATCAATCAAACTAGAGTTTTTATTTATTTTTTTACTTTTCACCTTTTCGGTTGCATATTCAAGTCTAGCTTCACTATTCATAATCCACTCTAAATCCTAATTTTAAAACATAACACTAGTTTTGACCGTTGAATGCGTTTAATCTAATAGATTTACGTCCTTGTCTTTATCTGTCGGCCAAAAGATATTTAGATGCTTTAGCTTTTTACAAAATCTTAATTACTATGTTAATCAATAAGCCAAAATATTCTCTGATTAGTGATTTATTACTAGAATGTCTTATTCATTATTTTAAGTTTTCATATTAACATAACCATACAGTCATTTACAGTTTTCATACCCTAAGCTATGATTAGCATAGTAATTATGATTTTTATTAAAATAGTAATTAAGATTTAGTTATAACCACACAGTTAGTAAAAAATTTGTTAAAAACATGTAATATACACACGTTTAAATATGGACGGAGACACATCAATGGTATTTAGTACAAACAAAAGCTATAAATCTCAAAATTGTTGTTCACTTGGCTCCAAAATATTTCTCCAAAAAATGTAGGAGTTTAAGCCGATGTCACGGGAGAACAATATTAATTATTTGAAAGTAATAAAAGATGCTTTATGTAAAATTCTAGTATTAGCCTATGTATACTTTCTTTTCATTTTTGTTAATTAATATAAAAATACTTAAAAATTAATTTAATTTTGTATTGTTTTTTCTTTAGCCTTTCTATATACTTTAAAAATACACAAAATACAAATATAACATGTGTTTATGTAGCATACATCTCATAGTGGATATCAAGAGTTTTTAATATTTGTTTTACACGGATGTCCAAACTTTTTAGATTGAAATTAAAACGAATGCCAAATTATAACCGATCTAGTGGTTAATCTGTAATTATGCAAAACAAAGTGGACTACCTATATTTAGGTAAAAGCAAAGTAAAAAGGGTTTGTTTAGCTTCTCTTTCACATCAATAAATAATATGCTTAGCAGCTGTATAGATTGAAATCATGGACTAAAAAAACGAAAAGATAGCTAAAATATGTGAATGATATGTTTCCACGAGATTCTATATTACATATATTAATTGCATCACAAGACAAACAGCATCATGCCTTTGTCTTCATGTCGGTTTATAGTTGCTCCATCTATTCTGTGTTATAAATTATGATCTCCTTTCTTTTACTATGTCCTAAGTGGTAACAAACTAACAATCCATCGCTTGTTCTTCTTGGGGGTTTTTTTTTTAATTATTTTTTTCATTTTATTACATTGTTTCAGTTGTAAAATCCGTCGCTAGTTTATCTGTCTTTTTCGTTTCATTACATTGTTCAATATC